CATAAGGATCACTTTATTATATAAACATCTTTATATCATATCTGATTTATGGAAATAATGGTCTATACAGCACATTTAGGAAATACACATAGCTGTCAGCTTCTAGGGTTCTTCATATGAACGTAAGAATTGTGAAATGTTCATATTCCTTTAAATACATCAACAAAGGAGTGGTACAGGAATGAGTCCTAAACCCGGATATGAGATAGCATTTTAGCCCTCTCGGGATCCCTCGTCTCAAATGTCAATAGGAGTCAAGGAAACAACAAGACAAGGGTGCAGCATATTTCTAAAATGAAAATGATAACCCATAGCTCAAGTATTTTGAGTGAGAAGCCACAGTATTGATGTCTGCTCACCACACAGCCAAGGTGACATTTATAGATATTATATCCAAAAATAAATACAGAGAAGGGGATTTGGATTCTACAAAAAGAGATTGGAGAGGTCAGGTAATGACTGCTGTCTGATTTTGTAAATCAGGCACCCTGCAGGAAGGGAAAGACTTTAAATAATAATGTGTTGTTTTACATTTATGCAGTATCATTGGCAGTGAACTGACCTTGATTCACAAAATTGGCAGCCTTTCTGCATTTACTCATACAGAAGGGATCTCAAACACACACACACACACACACACACACACACACACACACACACACACACACACACACACACACACACACACACACAGCCGTATGCTTTCCGTTTCATCTTCTATAGGCCTGCACATCACAGTTCGATCGCTTTTTCAATGACCACACAAGGATTTCAAACTAAAGACCACACACACACACACACACACACACACACACACACACACACACACACACACACACACACACACAGACACGCACACACACTGTCCTATCTTTCCACTGATATGGAGATCTGTGTTTGTTTGTCAGAGCTTCACCTTTGCTTGCCACTGAAGTCTGTCTGCAGCATGATGACATCATGTACTTTGTGAGTGTGAACAATAACATAAGGAAGGACATGGGGAGAGAGCAGGAGTGAGAGTGAAAAATAAGGAGGATAGATTGCGAAATTCTAACAGTGTGTCAAATTACACAGCTCTAATGGGGATCTACATCTTGGTATCACCACTGGTATATATTTGGGCAAATGAACATTACCGGAACCAAAGAAGTATCAATCACTTGTCCAACAAATGGTTTAAATGTTCTTGAGCAGGGTATTATGTTTGACAAAAGACAAAAATAGATGTTGCACCGTTTGTAGGTGAATATTCTGTTTTAAAACCAAAGATCCAAGCTTCCATTAGTTGATGAATCATAAAACCACTCTGAGCCGCTCCCACTTCGTCAGTCACCCAGGGAGAGTTTAATGGTGACAATTTTAGCCCGATTGTATTAGTATGCTGACAGAGAGACGGAAGACAAAGGCGGAGATAAAGAGAACAAAAGGTGGTGTGAAAGGAGGAGAAATAGAGTGTGATAAAGGTGTGGGAAAGGGAAAAAATAAAGTGTTTTTTGTTATTTACGTGAATTAATAAGATTACTCCCTTTCATCACTGTTGTCACTAATTTCTGTCCCGTGAGGCCAGTGTTTTCTGGGCTAGTCGGACATACTGTACTTCTGCTTCTCTGCCCCTGTCCTTGTCTCTTTCAGTCTGAGACACGATGAAGTCAGAGTTGGCAGTAAGTCACTGTGTCAGCTCAGTAGGACACTGTTCCAGTAGAAAAGAGCGGCAGATTCACATATTGTTGCTAGACATTTCAAAGCTCCTAGCAACCACCTCCAACTTTTTATGAGATAACTTGGCTCATTTTACTCTTGACCTACATGAGGGCTAGAGATCAATGTGTGGGGTCGTGGGTCAGAAATGGTCCCCTTTTGACATTCCCCAATTAATTCACCAGTGCTCTTGTACTAGATTACAAGTGTGTGTGTGTGTGTGTGTGTGTGTGTGTGTGTGTGTGTGTGTGTGTGTGTGCGTGTGCGTGTGTTTTTTATACTTGGTATAACACAAGATAATTTTAGCTCCTGTACCATGCAAGCACAATTTTGACCTTCAATATGTAAAATATCTGATAACTAAGCTTTATTCCAACCCCCTTCCCACTGTCCTTAGACTCAACAGTCTCCAATGTGAACAGGCAACCCAGTCTCACGGCACTTTGTGTAATTAATCTATTGATTCGTGTTCACCATCACGATTTTCCCATTTTTTTCGTGTCACACAGAACGATTTTAAAAGCAATTTATGTATTTCAATTGGTAGTATGTTTCGTGCCTGCACCACGTCTTTTTGTCCGGTCAGGTCTTGGAAGACCGGAAGCTGTGGGGTTCATAAAAACATTTTCTTACTCAATATCAAGCCACAATTATTGTTTTTATTTTAAATTGTATAATGTCTGACTTTTTTTGCCATCCGCAAGGAAAAGAAATGGGGCAGAGCCTCAGAATACTGAAATCTGTATTAATCTAATTTGTTATTATTTACATTGCTTTTAAAATCGTTCTGTGTGACACGGAAAAAATGGGGAAATGGTGTTGGTGAACACGAATCAATAGATNCGGTAGCCATTGAAATTGAATTGTATTTATTTAAAACAAGGGACAGTGTACATTAATCAACATCTTAAAAACATGTAAAACTCGAATTAACCAAAAGGCTAGTTTTCATCGATAGTCCCTTTGCCAGATGGTGATAGACATCCTAAAAGCAATAATAAAAATACCACGACATTGTTATACCATGGTACATTTACAATAGATGACATCACTGAATACAGATAAGAGCAAGTCATGATAATAAATAAAACATTTACAATACACACTCATACACACACATCAGTGCTGACACTGTTGGTTTTCAATGAGCCACTTTTTAATACTGTGCTTGAATGTGTAGTAGGGTGAGGATTCTCTTATTGGTTGTGGTATTGAATTCCATTGATGGGATGCGTGGAATGAAAAGACAGCCTGGCTGAATGCACTTTTCCTAAATGGGATGGTGCAGTCTCCCCTTAGCCATGTTGCTAACAATATATGTAGGCCTACAAGTAGATATATTTACTTCTTTATATGAAATTGAATGAAACAAAAGCAGTAGGTCATGTGTGTTGTTTGTAGCTTCAGGTGTCGGGTGACCATATATTCTAGTTTAGAGGATGAATCCTACTGACTTTGGTGCCTCCGCTACCTTATGCTTGGTGCTAATTAACACATTTTAGCATGCTAATAGGCTAATCTAAAGTGTTGAACATTGCAGTGTCCTTTCGAGCATGTTAGCATGGAAGCACAAAGCAATGTAGTAAAAGCTACAAAGCGAAATTGCCCACACATTCACCAGCTCTAAGCTAAACCATAGTTTGAATGTGCCTCCTGTTCCAACCCAGTCTCACGGCATTTTGTGTTGTAGTCACGAAATTAATCTATTGATTCGTGTTCACCAACACCATTTCCCCATTTTTTCCGTGTNTCGATAGTCCCTTTGCCAGATGGTGATAGACTAAGGTGACCAGATTTTCAAAATGAAAACCGGGGACATTTTGAGTTTTGCGGTCAATATATCATTTACTGTAAATGATATATTGACCGCAAAACTCAAAATGTCCCCGGTTTTCATTTTGAAAATCTGGTCACCTTAGTCTATCACCATCTGGCAAAGGGACTATCGATGAAAACTAGCCTTTTGGTTAATTCGAGTTTTACATGTTTTTAATATGTTGATTAATGTACACTGTCCCTTGTTTTAAATAAATCAATTCAATTCAATGGCTACCGCAAGTAGCATGGCTACCGCTAGTAGCATGGCTAACATTACTCCAAATATCTGTAAGAATCCAAAATAAATAGAACCCCCCATCTTAGGGCTTAGGAATAGATAACCAGGCCTTCATTCACTTCTCTCTCAAAGGGGCTCTTTGGGTAGAGTTACCGCAGGTGCACCGGTTCTTCCCCTATAGCTAATTTAGGTTGTTGAATTGCCTCTAAAAATGCTTAATGCTCTCTGGTGTGATGCAGTAAATATTTCTTGGTTTTTCTATTGCACCTAGTCTAAGGGAGAATGCGACCCGCCATCAAACAGAATTGCTTTAGTGCGTAGAAACTCAGGAAAAGATGCAGGTTATGTTCTTACAAATATATGCTCCTAGTGTCAGCAGCACACCCATTCACCTGTCAAAAATGTTCTTGAACTTTGAACCAAATTTTCCCAGTTGCTTATGAGCATTTTTTGTTTGAGACTTAATTGTGTGTGTGGATTTTTTTTAGCTGAGGCTCATTCATCTTTTAAGTAAACACACTCCACCAACATGTGTGCACTGTTAAACACATCACTGGCTCAGTGAGCACCGACACAGAGAACAGCTCAAGGTGTTCAGCTCCCAGGTGACTGTTAAACTGTACTTACACTCTTACCCCTTTGGGAAAATGCAAGCAAAAGGACAGATTTAGACTATGCACAGTCATTCCTGTAGTAAGCATATAAACAAAATTCCACATTGACTGCACTTTTCTCCAACACATAACATGATGACGGGTTTAAAAGGGGAGGGAGTGATTTCCATTCACATTCTTCCCTCTTTCTCTCTACACTTTAAGTTCAGGCTGGCTTGGGTCCCCTCCTTCAGTGTTCAGTGTTGCAGCTCAGTGATCATGACGATGGCTCTTATGAATCTGAAGCTGTGATCGCCAATACTCCAAGTTGGTGATTCTATTAATATGTGTGCCCAGGAGAGGTGCTTTAAAGCCTAAGGATATCTTTCTTAATTTCATACATTAACCTGATCAGACACTATGTTTATGGCGTAAATTGCTTATTGATCCAATGTTGCATTGCACCACATATGCTTATATCAGATGCCTTATACATTTGCTTATGATAGATGTTTTCAATCTTTTCCTTGGCTATATTGAAAACAAGAGCCTGTACCATAATGGATTAAGCTACATAAAAACCATCAGAACTAATACCATACTGTGAGAAGTCTCATCATGTCCATGTCTTTATCTCTGCCGTCATGTCGCAGGCGTTTGGTCAGGCCTACTCTACCCAGCGTAGGGTGGCAGAAGATGGGGAGACCAACGAGGAGACGCTGCTGCAGGAGTCTGCCAGCAAGGAGGCTTACTACATGGGCCGCCTCCTGGAGCTCCAGTCGGCTCTGACGAAAAGCCGGGCCACCTCCTCTAACGTTCTGGCTGACAACGAACACCTGAGCACACTACTCCAGGAGCTGAGGGAGGTACTGTGCATCTACAAGGGTTACAGATCTGAGATATCACACTGTCTAAGTAGGGTTCCTTGAAGTACAATAGGGTTGACATTTAGAGGCCAACATTTTCTGAACTAGGATTTTATGAGATTTTTCCAATCCTATACTCTAAATGGTTGAGTGGCACTCACGTTAAGCTGACTGTATTCCTGTGTATATGTCATATACAGCATGCAGCTCCACCAATGTTTCCCTGACCTGTCTCAGCAGAGCAATGACATGTTGGAGCTTCAGCGCAGCCGGATGCGAGAGGAGATCAGGGAGTACAAGTTTAGAGAGGCACGGCTGCTCCAGGACTACACCGAGCTGGAGGAGGAGAACATTACGCTGCAGAAACTGGTGTCGACACTCAAACAGAATCAGGTACAGATGGTTCACACACAGACACATCCACATGCAAATTGAACCCTGCAACTGAAGCCTGACCGAATCATAGGAAATCAAGTAGATCAATCATTCAAACCAAGACTTTGTGAATGATTCTATCGTTAGTTTTGTGGGGATTTATAGTTTATTCTAAAAATATTACACAGATTTTGGTGCGCACAATATTGTTGTCCTCTCATTTGGATCTCATTTTATTTAAGCGTGTCTATAAACAGCTCACTGGTCTGTTTCAAATGGAGTAGAAATGTTTTTGTACTTTTTTCTGATTACTGATATTATTGACATATTAGGGAAGCTCAACGAGGCACCTTTACTACCCCACAAAGTGATACAGCACATTGGCTTGCCTTTCTCTCAAAGTAATCCTATCTTTCTGTTGCTTTACCCCTGGTTCAGGTGGAGTATGAAGGTCTGAAGCATGAAATCAAGGTCCTGGAGGAGGAGACGGAGATCCTAAACAGCCAGTTGCAGGACGCGCTGCGTTTGAAGGACATGTCAGACGCTCAGCTGGAGGAGTGCCTGGAGTCTCTGAAGAGCGAGCGTGAGCAGAAGAAGCACCTGCGCAGGGAGCTGGTGCACCACCTCAGCATGTGTGATGTGGCCTACACAGGAAGTGCCCACCTCACGTTCAGCTCCGCCCCGCCCAGTGGAACCGCCACCCCGACGACTATGCTCTCCCCAAACGCAGAAGATCCAACGAGGTGGATATTAACTTGCATGGAAGAACATTTCACATTTACATTGTTAGGGATTACAAGACCTGCAAATAGTCAAACCTGTGTGACAAATTTCTTCTATTTTTCTAATATGCTTTGGAGAATTAATAGATAATGAGAATGGCTTTCCAAATATGTAATAGGAAGTAAGGCCTGTTATATGGTAGGGCATAAAGTAAACAACTATTTATTTCAGTGTGTGTAAACCACTGCACAAATATGCTGGTTTAATGAATGATAGTCACATGTATTTTTGATAGTGTCATTATTCCAGAAGGTGTTGGCCTGCAATCTTGTTTTTTACTGTTCCGGTCATACATCTGTCTCATTCTCTATATTGTCTTAGGGAAAGCTAAGTGAATCTCCCACATTTTTAAGTGGTGCTCTGATTTCTTAGGTGTAATGGCCACCTCCAGGGTGGGACCACAGCGGGAACAGTAGGGTCGGTGCCCAGAGCTAATGGAGACTGCCGGGTCTCGGGTTGGAAATCTGAGGGTGGGGTGACGTCGGACCTCTTCAACGAGATGAACATGACAGAGATTCAGAAGCTCAAGCAGCAGCTGGTGACGGTGAGTCTGCTCTGTGATCAATCATGTGCTATCATTTATTAGAAGGAAGTCAGCATTGCGACCATTTCCAAATAAGAGAACAAGCACAGTATGAAAGAACCCGGACTGTAAACTATTTTTTACCTTGAGCAGGGATTTAGGAACAGCCAGCAATCTCAAAATTCAACAACTTTTAAAGAGGCCCTATTAGGCTTTATGGGGTGTTCCCTTTCCTGTAGTGTGTTATAAAGGTTTGTGTGCATGTAAATGGCCGGGAAAGGCAAAAAAAGTTCCCTCCAGAAGGAATTCTCTCCCACACCTTCCCCCCCCTGCCTGAAACGACCTATCAAGAAAGGAAGACCTGATTACAGTCTTGTGACTTGTTTGTCGAATGAGAGTTCCCTGGTTTCTGGATGCCAGTTTGATGTTTTCTGACAAGGGGCAGAGAAGAAAAAATATCCTTTTTCTGAAAATGTTAAACTATTCCTGTACATGTTTGGCATGTGTTGGCTCCATAAAACATCATGCCTTATGATTAATTAGTGGAACCTTTTTGTTGTGATGTGAAACCATGTGACCGTTTTATTTTTTATTTGTCTGAGTGTCTGCTGCTGGGTTAATTATCTGGCAACCAACCCATCTTTAGAAAGCCAAAGCTGTTGAATAATTTACTGTAAAAAACCACATGACATGCAGTCCCTCATTAACCGTTTGTCTTACACACAGTCACACATTCATTGGCGTCCTTTCCTTACACCTTTTCCTTATGCAATACCAGAAAAACAATAATTCGGAGCATCAGATCATGCTCAAATCGCTACAAAGACTTATTTTGTGTGTACACAGTCATCCATGCGTGTGTGCATCTGCTTCAGTTCCTGTAGGTGTAACCCCATCCATTCCTGCTCCCTGCTGCTTTGCTGATATGCTGCAGGAAGAGCTTATTTATATCTTAGCTGACACACTACACTATCGACCACTCTCCTGTAGATGGGTGGGTTTCATCGCTGCTTCTGCTGTCTGGGCTGCTTTTTTAAATGTTACTGAATCCACTGTTGTGCTACAGCATTGCTTCTTTTAACCTGATGGAACTATTTCCTTTAATGGTTAAGTGTACGTTCCTGTTAAGGTGTGGTTGTGAAAGTGCTCAGTTTCTAAAGGGTGTGTTCAAGCGGAAGTCTTTGCATGTATGTCAATGTCAATGTCGGACGATGCTTAAATTTGATTACGATATACTGCAACCAAAGTTTGGGGGTGGGGAGTGTGTTGGAGAGAAACTCACCCAACTGGATTTTAGCCTTTACAGATAATTACATGCACAAAAACCTATATAACAAACTACAGGAAAGGGGAACCCCAAAAAGCATGATAGGGCCCATTTAAGACATGTTTTAAAGACTTGTTAGCCTAAGCAGCTCTGGCTACATTGAACTGAAACTAACTTTCATGTCAGCGATACAACAAATCAGAAAGCACATTATCTATGTTGTTCTCCTTTCATCTTCCTATAAACTGCTCACATCAGCAGATATTTGATACAGACTCAGGACCAGATTTCTCCCTTTTATTATTGTGATAGATCGGGAACAGTCAGTGCGAACATTCTGTTATTCCAACCTACAGTACAATAAAGAAAGAAAAGCAGCAGGATGTGATTGGAAATGGATGACAATTTGGAAACTTCTGAAATAAAACATATGCTGTGCTTCTTCCTAATCTTGCTGCTGCCCCCTTCAGGTTGAACGTGAGAATGTCTCCCTGATGACCAGTCTGCAGGAGTCCCAGAGTCAGCTTCAACACACCCAGGGGGCCCTGACCGAGCAGCATGAGAAGTCCCTCCGCCTGGACCAAAGAGTCACTGTCCTCCGCCGCCTCAATCGCAGGGCCCGCCTACACCATGAAGCCCCTGCTTGTGCCCCCTCTCAGCTCCACCCTGAGGCCCTGGTGGAGCTAGACAGAGATGAAGAGGAGGCTGAAGAGGAACGAGGGGCTGAGGAGGATAGGAGTGAGACACTAAACAAAAGTCAGGTATTTTCTTACCAGACGCCAGGACTGGAGATTCTGCAGTGCAAATACCGTGTGGCTGTGACAGAGGTGGTGGAGCTCAAGGCGGAGGTGAAATGTCTCCGTGATCGACTGGCTCAGGGTGTGGAGGCGGCAGGGGAGGAGAAGCCAAGGCGAAACAGTCTGCAGAAGCTGGACAGGCAGGTCAACACGTTGGAGAAGAACTGCCGGGAGGGACGTGAGAAGGTAACCACCTCGTACTGATGGTGTCTGTTTGACTAGAATGACAGATAGCTACAGAGGTTTAATTCCTTCTCCTCTTTCCTCAGATTTCTAGCCTGGAGATGGAGTTGCAGGCAGCTCAGTCAGCAGCCAGCGAGAGTCGGGGTGCGTTAAACGCAGCTCAGGATGAGTTGGTGATTCTCAGTGAGGAGCTCGCCAAGCTCTACCACCACGTCTGTCTGTGCAACAACGAGACGCCCAACCGTATCGTGCTGGACTACTACAGGTCTGGCTGCTGTCTTATTGGTCGAACATATGCAGCATCAAGGAGTGAAGCGGAAGTTATTAAATCAAGGCCCAATATGGGGACCTTGCATTTAAGGGAGGGCCACTTGTTACATCTTGTAGCCCAGTCCAGCCTTGTGCAGGTCTACGATCTTGTCCCTGAGGTCCTTAGACAGCTCTTTAGTCTTGCCCATGGTGGAGAGGTTGGAATCTGATTGATTGATTGATTCTGTGGACAGGTGTCTTTTATACAGGTAACACAGTTGATATTATAAGTACTTTCTTAAAGGAAGAGGACTTATTTAACCGTTCTGTCGGAGCCAGAATTTCCCACAGTTAAATGCAAATCAATTTTTATCTTTTATATAATGTCAATTTCTGGATTTCTTTTTTGATATTCTTACTCTCACTGTTAAAATAAACCTACCTTTAAAATTAAAGTTTGTTCGTATCTTTGTAAGTGGGCAAACTTACAAAATCTGCATTTATAATTATGAATCTACACAGTGAAGTTTCATAGGTAAAACAAACTAAATCTCTCTTTCTTTCTTTCAGACAAGGCAGAGGGCTCCGGGGCCTCAGTGCCACTCTTAAAGCCATGTCTGCTGACAACAGCAAAGTTCTCCTCACACCACGCCTCGCCAGGCGGCTGGCCGCTGTCGCTTCATCCACCCTGACTCCCGGGGAGTCGCGTAGCCCCTCGCAGTCTCCATCCAAGGAGCCTTTATCTAGGGAAGGTGGCGGGGAGGAGAAGGAAAAGGGGGGCGTCCTGGAGCCACCTGAGCAGAGCCTGCCGCCCTGCACAACTCCAACCCGCTCACCTAGCATCAGTGCCTCTTCATCAAGTTCCTCATCATCCTCGCCTGCCCTGGAGCCAGCTGGTGAGCTGCGCAGGGAGCCCATGAACATATACAACCTCAACGCCATCATCAAAGACCAGGTAGAACAGTGTTCTCTTTTCGGTGTCTCCTTACTTTTTTTCTACTCTCTTCAACCTTTCTTCTATGAATCTTACCTCCTCTTGTCCTCATCTCCTCCCCCAGGTGAAGCACCTGCAGCGGGCAGTAGACACGTCTCTGCAGCTGTCCAGACAGAGAGCTGCAGCCAGAGAGCTGGCGCCTCTGATGGACAAGGACAAGGAGGTCTGCATGGAGGAGATCCTGAAGCTCAAGTCTTTGCTCAGCACCAAGAGAGAGCAGATCGCCACCCTCAGACTGGTACTCAGGGCCAACAAACAGGTGAGACATGTGTGACTATGGAATGTGAAAAATGTGGCAATGTGAAAAAAGAAGCACCACATTTGTGTGACTACTGCTAGAACCTATGAACCTATGATCAGAATATGATTTGGAGAGCAAAAATGTTTTCCTTAGAACCTGCACTAGGAACAAAAACATAGGCATCTAGTGATGCTACAAAATAATGTTAATACTAAGCTATGTTAAAACATGTGTTACTGAAGTCTTGTTAATTGAAGCGAGTTATGTCAGCGTTTCCCATGATAACATGAACACACAAGGTCTTTACTCGCAGCTGTCTTGATTATGATGCTTAGCTCACATGGTCGAAATTCCTACCTAAAGACATTATGCTAAATGAAGGTTGCATGCTCCAAAACATTGCGATGAAGTGATTTGTTCTTTATTTCTATGCATCTACAACCTAAGCCAAGGATTTTGGCATTTGCCTTATACAAGAAAGGAACATCCAAGATGCATTTTTATCCGTTTAAGAAAAACAGTGTTAGGTATACAAATGAGCTCAGCAGATTACAGTCCGTTTACTGGCCTTCCATGCCCATCAACCAATAAGGTTGAATGAGGACATGGCTGTCCTAAACCTTTCTGCTAATGCTATTAGCTTCTATTTCTTGTTTTATATGATTTCTCTCCAAGGAATGTGTGCATCAGTGATTCAATGCAGAGGAAATCAAGCTAATCGTACATACCATACATACAATAAAACAGAAGTACTGTACCAATTTGGATTCACACAGAGTGCAAACTATAAAAACAATTACACTATCACAATGATTCATCCTGTACACGTCCTTTCCTGTACTAAAAACTCAGTGGAAAATCTGTTGTTGTTAGTAGTAACTGCATTATGCATTGCTATTTGGGCGTGGCACTTTTAAAAGAAGTACGTTTCTTGTTCTACGTATAAAGATATTGACATGGTCTAGTCTTCCTATGGTTCAATGTGATAGTGGGAAGTAGAAACGGAGGTTACGAAAGGGAAATCATAACATGAGAATTTATGATGTGTGTGTGTTTACCCAGACGGCTGAAGGGGCTCTGACCAACTTAAAGAGTAAGTATGAGGCGGAGAAAACCATGGTGAGGGACACCATGACGAGGCTGAGGAACGAGCTGAAGGCCTTGAAGGAAGATGCCGCCACTTTCTCAACTCTGCGCGCCATGTTTGCCACCAGGTCAGAGACGAAACAGAACAAGTCAACAACTCAAAAGTAGATTAACCATCTCAGATAAATGTGAAGAATTTTACTTCCAATGATGAAGCCACAGAGCAAGTCCCCATTAACTGAGTGACCAGAAAATGATTAATTCTGCATTAGTTGCATGGTAAGGACTGCTCCAGTAATATTAGAGAAATCACAGATCGCTCTTTTTTCTCATATCAGTTCTTTAGGATCTCAGTGTACCAACTTGTGTAAACTACATTCTCTCTCAATCCTACAAAAAATGTTTTAATCTTAGAAAAGGGTTGACTTTAAAGAAAATAAGATTACTAAAATGAGAGGGTAACTATAAAGCTACGGCTAACCACTGGCTAGCTTAGCTTAGTTTAGCACTGATACTGAAAGCAGCTGACCATTTGAAGGTATCAAATATGCCTACCAGCACATATAACTGTGTGTTTGTACAGTATGTGAAGCCTATTCCCAATTTTGTGGCCTCTTTTCCCCCTTTCTGTTTGTGTTTGCTCCCTCTGAACCGTGTTCAACCTGCTAACACCTTGCTGTCTTCAGGTGCGATGAGTATGTTACCCAGCTGGATGACATGCAGATGCAGCTGGCTGCGGCGGAGGATGAGAAGAAGACTTTGAACTCCCTCCTGCGCATGGCTATCCAGCAGAAACTCGCCCTCACCCAGCGCCTGGAGGATTTGGCTTTCGATCAAGAGCAGACCCACCAAACCCGCGGGGGGCGGCTGCACCGCATCAAGACCAGCACCCCCAAAGTAAGTCCCTCGGCCTCTTCTTCGGCATCCAACCTAGACCAAGGCTCCAATTCCGCTATGACCCCTGTCAGACCTTTCCTTTCCAACCTTCTTAGCTCTACGTCAATTCTCCCTGATGACCCCACTCTGCCCCTTAGTCCATCGGTGGTCAGTGCGGCACTTGCCTCAGCTCTCACCTCCCCCACATCACATTTTCACACTTGCAGTCCGTCATCACCGGCCGGCGCCTCATTGGTTAGCCCTCTAGCGCCAGAGAGCCCCCCGTGTCTGGAGGCCCCCTCCTCTCCCTCGCCGCGGACCCCGCCCTCAACCTCTCTGAAGCTGGCTCACTCCCAGTGGACCATGGGGGTGCGGACATTTGTGGTTGACTCCCACAGTATCAGTGTCAACATCACCCCCAATCCGTCCCATAGTTCGGGCCCCTCCAGACACATCACCCCAGACTCTTTTAGCTCTTCCCCATCCACCACAACAACCAGGTCCACCCAACCAGGATCGGGCCCCTCTTCCCCCTACCGCTCGCCTATTTTGGGGCTCAGGCGCTCCACATGGAGCCCCTCACCCCGAACTCGGCCGTTGTCCAGCCTGACGCGCTCTTCTGTCCTCTACGCTCCTTCCTCACCCTCCCCTTACTCCTCCTCTCACTCCCCATCTCCCAGCTATTCCTCTGCCTACTACGGCTCTTCTTCTTCTGTTTTCACCCCCTCTCGCTCCTACCTCGCCTCTGGCACCACCAACTCCTACGGCCACTCCACCAGCTACACGCCCCTCTACCCAAGACACTACAGTTCTTACCGGCCCCGGCACTAACCCCTTAATAAATCCTTTGAGCCTATTGAAGGCTTCTCGACTAGACTTCTTATTGACATTAAAAAACTGCAACTCCCATCATCCTTCTCTTTCTGTCACCTGAGAGAATGGGCGCTCACAGAGAGGAGGACAAAGTGGTTTCCTGTTTCCCCGTTCCTTTTTTCCTGTGTCTAAGCTTTGGCCAATGGGTTCTGAATGTTCAGTGACTTTGCTCAGGGATTTGACAAATGGAGCACAAGAGGCCCCACCTTCCTTCTATTACGAGACTGCTGATTGGTCCACAGGAGGACTTTAATAGAGACTTTTTATAATGAGAGTTTTTAGGCATCAAGTTCTTCAGATTGAAGTGACACATGCATGATTTAAGCGCAGAGACATTCAGACACTGACTGGAGGACCCTTTCATAAGTTTGAATGAAGGCCATGACACATTGAATAGCGTCCTCTATATTCAATATAATATCCACCGAGTCTGTATACACAAACACTGTAAACCACATGTCTTTTAAGCAAGCATTCTCCTTGGATGCCCAACGATTCAGTATGATTCAAACAAATGAAGTTGCAAGTGAACGCCACAAATCAAAGGAAAAAGCGTTTACACCAGTTACAAATGGCCACACTTAAAGGTCTGCTGTCGTTTTTAGAGTTAGAAAACGTATCGTACGCAGCACCCCTAAAAGCCAACGATGGATTGTGAAGGGTCGTTACTTGAGAAGCTGTTAGTCCCTGCAACAAGAAATGTGTTTGAAGCATAATGACTCCTTGAGTGTTCCCAGCTTTGACCTCACTTTATAATCTCTCTTTCACAAAAACACATATACACACTTGTATGATGACAGTTGTGGACAAGGCTTGATGGACTAGTCATTGGTACATGTTTGTCATGGTGGGCATTGCTTTCTAAGTGCACCTCAATGAGTATTCTTTATTTCTTGTCCATCTCTAGCACCACCAAGTGGTTTGTTCTTATATAGCCATGTACATGTGCATACATATGCATGTTCACGTTTGGATGCTCTTTAACTGTAGGCTTCCTCCCCCTTCCAAATAAAAAACCAACGGATAGAGGTGCAGGCTGTATGGAAGGTCATGGCAGGGAAGAAGTTACAAGATGGAGGAAGGAGAGCACTCAAACATGGCATAAGACCAGTCAGCCTAATATCTTCTCATGGTACAGAAAAACATTTTGACTTGGAGTTAGGTATGGGAAGTTTCTCAAGAAGCTGATGTTCTCTTCACCTCGTTTTTTTTGGTTTAACTTGCCTTAAGTTTATGACTAATTAAAAGGTACTTCTAATGTAACTCTTTCCAAAAACATCACACTAAAGAGGACATTCTCCAACATTGCACTAGGGCTGCTCGATTATGGCAAAAATCATAATCTCGATTATTTGGGTCAATAATTGATATCACGATTATTAAAAACATTTATCCATTTACTTTGAAAACATCTATTTATTGAAAAAAAATGTTGAACAGTATGTTTTTAACAGTTGATTACCCTGAACTTTAAGTATAATTCAACTGAAAAAAAAAAAAAAAATCGTTTTTTTCTTTAAATAAAAAAAAAATCGTTTTATTTCGATTATGTTGTTTTCATAATCGTTGCAAGCCAAAATCGTAATTGCGATTAATTGAGCAGCCCTACATTGCACCAATAAGTTAGTTAGTCCCAAGCAAGACGTAAATCCCGACCTACTACATCAGTTAGGATTCGAGCATTAATGTATTTTTGAGTAACCATTACCTGAAAGAGGATATTGAATCAACAAGTAATTTAATGTCAATTGATTCCAAGTATTTCCACACACCAAATTATTTTGTATCTTTATGACATGACTATTATGACTCCCCATCATGGCTGACTTAGTTATAGTAGTAAACTCACAATGTAGCACCGTTATGCCTCCGAGGCCATCTGCAGAGGTTCAGTGACACAGAATGAATGTATTCAGGGTTAAGTCTTGGTAACGGCACTGCACCAAACTCAGGGAACGTGACACACCTTATTCAACCTATAATGAGTCAACAACCAAACCAGAATGACTACAAAACGTATGATGTTGTTAACTAGTCTAGTTAAAGGTGTTTCACATCTTACCTAGTCTGGCAAGAAGATTGTTATTCATTGTATCTCTTTGTCCAGTACAGAGACCGTTCTGGGGTTTGTGGATTCACAATTGAGGTTCCCTTTGACCTGAGTTGACGGCAATTCATTTCCTAAAAGTATTTTTGTTGTACTTTTAACTGCTGGCTAACATATGTGAGGCATATGAGTTTAGCACACATGATACCGTATTCCCTGTGTCTGTGTGTGCCTTACAAAACCGATTATACAGCACCTACACAGTGTAGCCTAATAACAAATGACTGTCTGAAACCAAAACCTTTTTAAAGTGCTTCTTTTATTTATTTTATCCTGCAGGCTTAAATGCTGTCTTTTTGTGTATTTGTTTTTGGCCTGGATTGCTTTTAATGGGGTTGGATAATGACTCATCAAAGTCAGATAATGCTTGTAACTGTCAGAAGATTTTTTTTTCTGGGTCTGAGAATACAGATTCCTGCCTTTCACTTTTCTGCAATGTACACCTTGCTTTTCCCGCCCTTAGAATCACTGCAAACCTTGATTGTCACTTTTTTTTCTCTAGATCTAGTAATTCAGACTTTCACAGTTGTCTGTTGAACACTGACTCTTTGAACACTGTAAATGGATGCATCCTCTTGCCTTTAACATACACATTTTTGATATGCAAAAGGGGGAAAACACAAATTTGACAGGCACCTTTATTTTCAAGATTTCTGATTGGCTCCTTTGAAAGTTGTATTTGCCGTGGTAGGCCCATATCTTGCCTGTATTGTATGTTAAACCATTAAAGCTCTATGTCTGCAATCATATTTCTTAATGAGTTAATGGCATTTAAGAAAAACAACTATTTGCATTAATGTACTGCTTTTTCATCACTGACATTGTGAAAGATATGTCAAATGTTTTAGACACACAGTGTTGGATTGTTCGTTCACATCCCTGTCTGATCTTTACTGCACTCGAGCTGATCCATTTCTTTGAAGTAGTTAAAACCCTAACAAAACATGCTTGTTTAGAGCAAGCGGAATGTTTCTGTTGAACCACTTATCCAAACACTCAACACAACACTTCCTTTGATCCTGAGCAGTACACACAAAAGATAACACCTGGAATTGACCCTAAAACCCTAACCCTAAAGGTTTTTAAGATTTTAAATGATGAAAATTATTGAATATTTATTATGGTACTTATCCAACTAATTATACCAAATAACGTACATAAAGCTCCATATTCACTTGAAAAATGTGTTACTCAATAGTATACTACTGACTGTATACTTAAAATAATGTCAATGTATTGCTATCGTACATTTACCGGACAGAGGTTAAAGGGATTTCAAAATGGACTCGAATAGAAGGAACAATAGCACGGTGTGTGGGTGTCATATGTATTTTGGTTACGGTATAAAAAGGAAACCAGTTCGATCTCCTCTCTGTGATACCCTTTCTCTGTCTAAACACACACAACGTACACAAAGACATCTCCCTGTTCTACGCCAACATACCAATCTCGATCAAGTGAACGTTAACATTTCAATAACTGCTTTGAGCTTACTGGGTGTTCTTAAAGACACTAACTTTATTTCAGTGAAATGGAAAGAGCTTTTCCCATACAGGCAAAGCAACAGAGCTAGTCTTCAGAGAAAAATTAACTTGTTGACTGGGTTGGACTTTAATGGCCCAAGATTAAACTTATTCTGTCACTTATTATCTTTAGATATGGAAAGGGCCGGTGCTAACCACCCAAGAAAACTTTTGATACTAACTTTGTAAAAGCCACACGGGTTGGCCTGCAGAAACTGAAGCAGTGCTCAAAAAGTTTTGCATCAATGGAGGAAAAATTGGTTTCATGTGTTAAGATGTTGTTGGATTTGGGGCCATGAGAGCTTTACAAAACGTAAAATATATATATTTATATAAAAATGTAAGTCTAATTACCTGGACTTCATTTATTTAGCGCTTTTAAAACTGAGTTCAGCTTTCACACACACATCCATACAAAACACTAACATTCTCACACACTCATACACAGTTGGCTAGGCCATTGGGAGCAATTTGGGTTTAGTATCTTGCCAAAGGACACTTGGATCTACAGTAGTTCTCTTCACCATTGGCAATAGTCTTCCTCAGTCAAGTACTATAACACACTGTCAACTGGTTTAGCAGTTTAATTATTTTTAATAGGTTCAATACAACCAGACGGCTAAATGTAATACAACTTAAAGCAGGGCTATTCAATCACGCATTCAGTTGGGCCAGATTTTATAACTACAAAATTCAGCTGGGCCAGACATTCAGCGGCCTGTAAAAAGCGGGTAGTGACACATTTTAAACCAACACATATTACTGCGATGAAAAAGATGCAATTTTTATTCATTGTTCATCTAACAAAGGTATGTCAAAAAGTGCACAAAAAAACAACAAATTAGCATTCATTTAGCAGAATCTGAAAAAAGTGCAGTTGTAGCATTAAATTTGTTTGCTTTAGAAGTCAAATATTCAGGGTTTTTTTTTTTAACCAGGCACATCACAAAGCGCATTTACTGAATACAATAACAGCAGTCTTAATACATTTCCTCACATACAAAGAAAACAGCTAAAGAGCTCCAATGCAACACAAAGAGGTCGTACTGTAGCAATACTATTTTTTCAATTTTCAAGTAATAACAAAAAAATCATACGTTTTGGTCACATTTGACCCAGACACATTACAAAGTGCATTTAAATGAATACAGAAAGAACTGTCAAAACCTTCAGTGCACAAACCCATAACAAGGGATACGGGTAACTAACATATGAATGAATACTACACTACACGTCTACTATAGTAAACTAGGTGCTTACTATCACCTCATTTCGTGATTTGTCATCGCTGACTTTCTCAATGGGAGAAGGGACATTTTTTGTTTTGAACAAGAGCAGTGATTTTTGGCTCATAGGATGTCAATGCTCCTAAGACATTGGTGAAGAGTACTGTCAGTCAGGGCCCCTACTGAAACTGTCTCTGGCCGGAAAGTGACACGTTATCCCCCTGCATAGTTGGTCTCGGTTTCCTTCACCAGGGTGACGTAGCTGTTCCCTTTATATTGTGACCTTGAATAACTGTACGTCGCGTGATGCCCGGTCGCTTCTCAAAACCTCACTACAGTTTTTCGTCCTCTTGACTTGCAAGGGATTGCAAGTCTTTCATCGCTCAGACACCACGAGTCATACAAACTTAGTTGTATGTGCTCTTAGTCTCCGCAAAAAGTGTCGCTAACTTTGAGTTAGTCTTCTGCATCGTG